AAGTTTGTCACAGAACTTTGTTCACTTAATTTTATTAGTTGTAGGCAGTCAATATTCAAAATACCTTTCTGCAATTCATTTTTCCTTAAAAATTCTTTCCAGTCCTGCTGATGAGTCAGTAGCTGAAGTATCGGGAAGTGATTCTTTAAATATCTTTTAAATACCTGTAATTATACGCAGCAAACCCACATACCCTTCTCTGACTCCATACCCTGGACTTTGGTTTTTCTCCTCCTGATTTCCAGTTCAAGGAGGGAAATACAGAAGATGGCATTGGAGATGGCAGGAGGGTTGCTCTCCTCTCTCAGATTTATATAAAATTTAAAGCTAGAGGAAACATTAAAAATCACCTAGCCTGAGTCTTTCTTTCTTTTTTTTTTTTTTTTGAGACAGAGTCTTGCTCTGTCACCCAGGCTAGAATGCAGTGGTGTCATCATAGCTCACAGCAACCTCAAACTCCTGGGCTCAAGTGATCCTCCTGCCTCAGCCTCCTGAGTAGCTGGGACTTCAGGTACATGCCACCATGGCTGGCTAATTTTTCTATTTTTTGTAGAGACGAGTCTTACTATGTTGCTCAGGCTGGTCTCAAACTCCTGGTCTCAAGGGATCCTCCTACCTTGAAGGCCCACCTCCCAAAGTGCTGGGATTACAGGTGTGAGCCACTGCACCCGGTTTAAATCGTTTTTCTTTTTTTACTTTTTTTTTTGAGGCAGAGTCTCACTTTGTTGCCCAGGCTAGAGTGAGTGCCATGGCGTCAGCCTAGCTCACGGCAACCTCAAACTCCTGGGCTCAAGCAATCCTCCTGCCTCAGCCTCCCAGAGTGCTAGGATTACAGGCATGAGCCACCACGCCCGGCCTGTTTTTCTTTAATAGTGAGGAAACAGACTAGAAATCATAAGTGTTCTAAGGTCACATGACAGATTAGTGCCGAACATACGTGTTCTGATTCCAAGCTATGTATTCTTTTTCTTACGTTATCTGGCTACCGTGCAAAATGCAGGTTTTTTTTTTTTTTTTTTTAAGCATATCAGATGCACACTTCTGGATCTCTTCAAGCTTCTATTTTCTCATATGTAAAATATGATTAATAACAGTAGTTATTTCCTGGATTTGCTGTGAGAGTTAAAAGAATAAATACAAAATGGTAATAATAATACCTGGTAATAGCAAATACCTCCAATATACCACTGTTTATTTGTATTATTCAAGGCCCAGGATATTATACTTTTGGCTACTGAAGAAATTATTTGCTTATCTTACCTTACTTAATTTTAAAATTCCCGGCCGGGCGTGGTGGCTCACGCCTGTAATCCTAGCACTTTGGGAGGCTGAGGCGGGCGGATTGCTCAAGGTCAGGAGTTCGAAACCAGCCTGAGCGAGACCCCGTCTCTACCAAAAATAGAAATAAATTAATTGACCAACTAATATATATAGAAAACATTAGCCGGGCATGGTGGCACATGCCTGTAGTCCCAGCTACTCGGGAGGCTGAGGCAGCAGGATCGCTGAGCCCCGGAGATTGAGGTTGCTGTGAGCCAGGCTGATGCCACGGCACTCACTCTAGCCTGGGCAACAAAATGAGACTCTGTCTCAAAAAAAAAAAAAAAAAAAAAAAAAAATTTAAAATTCCCAAAGTATTGTCTTTTTTTTTAACCTCCTATTCAAACCATATTACAAATATGAAAACTGTCCATGGGCTGTAGAATCTGGCTGGCCTAGGTATATGCACTTAGGATTTGCAGTTTTAGTTTTTAGTTGCAGTTTTTAGTTGTAACCTTCTTAACTTCTCTGGGCCTCAGTTTTCTTATCTGTAAAATGGGGTTAAATTATATCTGCTTTCCTCTAAAGAGTTTTTTGTGAGGCTTAAATGAGAGAACACATGCAAAATGCCCAGCCTGGTGTCTGGAATTAAATGTTGGGTCCCTCCTTTCTCCAGTGCCTTGTGCAAATGTCTGTAAATACTCACAGATGTTCTGTGGCCCATATTGAAAGGTATATACTTCACTGATGTCAGATCTAAAAGGTTTAGAACAAAGCACTTCTAATGCATTGGCCATGGGAAAATATTTCAAAGTTAAAAGTAGAAACGTGAACCCGACTGCTCTACATAGATAAGTCTTGGAGTGAGGTTCTCAAAAGGGATGCTTGTCTTCTGACATAGTGTAAGGCTTCTCCACAATTTTTGCCATATCCAAGTAGAAGCTGTGGTGTTACATACTTCCATGTAAAAAAATATAAATTGTCTGTAGCATAACCTTCTTAACTCCTCTGGGCCTCACTTTCCTCATCTGTAAAATGGGGTTAAATTTCATCTACTTTTAATTTAAATTTATTTTAGTTTACTTTTAATTTAAACTTACTTGAGAAAGAAACTATATCACAAGGTACTAGTTCTAGTTTCTTATTACGTATAAATAACTAAACAATTAGTAAGATAAGTTAGAATATTAATATGTGTATTACCTAAATCTTACATGCCAACCTTTACTTACAAGTTGTCCTTACCTTGATCCCAGGGGACATTAATGACCAAGTCTGTCAGCGCTTGGCTCAAAGGAGGTAGCACTGCTCATATTTGTTCAGGGAGTGACAGCTTTACGCCTGCCCCAGTACACAAACTTACAGATCCACAAGGCCCTTGTGGTGTCACATGGCTAATATCCACTGTTAGGACCAGATTTAAGGTCTTCTAGTGGATAAAGCCCTCCTATCACTAAACAGGGTGTGAGAGTGGAGGGGTGAGTGGTGATTGGCTTTAGAGATTAAAAGTAGCAACTTGCACAAAGATGTCTCAGCTGTGAATTTCCTAGACTTCCAAACCTGGCATTTTACCATTACGAATTGCAACCATTTCAATTACTTGCTTTTGTCATTGAACACATTGTTCAAGAGAATTCAGAGGGTATAGGAACCCTTCATATGTAAAATTAATTCTCAATGCCTAAAACTTCACTGTTAACTTCCATTGCTTTGCGCTAAGTGCTGCTCTCTCCAGAGTTCCATTTTATAGTGCCAAAGGACTTCTGTAGACCAATGCATTAAGTTGTCAGCACTTTAGCATGAATTTGCTTGGACTGCATTTTCCTTCAGGGTAGAGAAGTATTAGTTTCTGAAAAAACTGATAGTTGAGGTGAGGGTTCCACAGCCTAAATGCATGTTTGCCCAGGGCTGGCCTACAGTTAAATGGTCTTAATAGGCTTGAGTGACTCAGATAAGGAGATAGTAACTGGGGCCAAGGGGCTCCTGTGAAGGCAAAGGTTGTCACCCACAGTGGTGAAGGGGTAGAGTAGCAAGAAGGGCCATGACCTGACAACAAGCCAAAGGCGCTAGCCACACGAGGCTGAGCAAAGATGGCCAGAGTTGACAATGGGACTAGGTTCTATAAACGTGGTCAGGGCTGTGCTGGGGAATACTGTAAACCTGGGCATAGGGAGTGAGGGACACATCTACAAGACTGTCTACCTGGCCCTAAACAAGGCTTATAGAGCCCCAAATAAAAAGGCTTGGCTTGGATACCCATGTGTTTATGCATAACTGACCCTCCTGCCAATGAAAAAGATGATCATGGCCCACATACAAAAGAGCTGAAAAGCCAAGTGACATGCATCTCCACACCAAGTTCCCATCACTCCTTGAAGGCTCTAGCTTCATTTTTCTTTCTTTCCCTTTTTCTTTAATGTTTTTTTTTAGAAGAGTCTCATTCTGTCATCCAGGCTAGGGTGCATCATAGCTCACGGCAACCTCAAATTCATGGGCTTAAGTGATTCTCTTGTCTCAACCTCCCAAGTAGCTGGGACTACAGACATGTGCCAAGACACCCTGGCTAATTTTTCTTTTTTTTTTCTTTTTGGTCTCGCTCTTGAGCAGGATAGGGTCTCACTCTTGTGCAGGCTGATCCAGAACTCCTGGCCTCAAGCGATCCTTCTGCCTCAGCTTCCCAGAGTGCTAGGATTGAGTTTCTTGTTCACAACGTTAAGGCAGTGTACATTTCACCTGCATCGTTTACTTACACATTCTACCCCTCTCAGCTTCATGACCCTCACTCCTGCCACCTTTGAAAAAGTGTCCCCTACCCAATCCCATCCACCATCCCCAATACAGCTGTCCTCCACTGAGTCACAAGGACTTCCACACTTGCTCAGAACTGGTGAAGTGCTTGCATCAGTTGTTGCCTATTTTTCATAACCAAAGTATCTAAATTCTTCAGTTCTCTACAAGAAAGGGCTGAGTGACTATCTTTTGATCCTGCCCTTCGTGAGTGCGTGAACACTGGTTCTCAGATGTGGGGCCACCTCTGTAGCCTGCCCGGTTCACAAACTAGTGGCTCTGGGACTGCCCTCACCTTGTCTCTGGGAATCCCAGCCCTGGGGGCGGGGCAGAGGAATCAGGGCCCCTTCTGCAAACAAACGGGCCAACGTGAGTCACCAGGAGTCTAATGAACTTTCCACTTGTTATCTGTTTCCATGGTCACAGCTGGGTCCCAGCATGGGAAACAGCCCTCCACAGGCCGGCAACCAGTACGTCACTGCTTAACAACCTCTGCAGCCTCCTCCTCGCTTACAGGATGGGTGAGTAGAATGGGAGACCTTCTGCACGCTAGCTTCGAGGCCACTTTTCTCCTCCTTTCATCCCCTGAGACTGCATCCCAGTGCGCACTGTGTTTCTTCTTCATCTTCCAGACTCAGCTGAAACACCGCCTTGCTTGGAAGCCTTCTCACAGGGCTTCCCAGATGTGGGGCTACTCCCTGCTTCCTCTGCCCCTCCCCCCCCCAGCACTCTGTTCACCTGAGTTAGGGCACTTGTCACAGGATACTGTGATGATTAGTTTATATATCTGTCCTCCCCACCCTCCTTGTGCTGGGACTGTGAGCTTCTCACAGGTTGGTGTGTGTCTTATTCATTTGAGTGCCACCAGAGCCTACCTCTCAGCACCTTCCTCCTAGCAGGTGCTCAGAAAATGTTAATGGAATGAATGAAGGGAAAAAGGAAAAGAAATGGCTTTTTATTAAGTTATTGAGCAAAACACAGGTAGACGATACAATGAGGCACTGACCCAGTAAAGAAAGCAATAGTGCTTTTAATGGAACTTCTTTCAAATCTGTGAACATGCTAGCTGTGAAGTGAATACTTTTATTCTTTCCATAGGACAGATTTCCAAATGATCACAGTGTTAAGGTTAATAAGATGCCGGACAGGTGAGTAGCCAAGAACGTTAACAAATAACAAAATCTCATCAATGATATACCAAATGCAAGTTTACTGAGACATCAAGAGAATATATGTTTGTAGTTACATGGCTAAAAACAAGACACTGTTACAGGAACCAAGTCCATAAAACTAGGGGAAAAAAGTACTGTATAACAAAAAGGCCTTTTATAAGCTATTAAATGAGCATACATTATAGACAAACCAATTTTATATATATATGAAGCAGCTTATAGCACCAACATGTGGGCAGGACCAGCAGAGGGGTAGGGTCACTGGACTGAAGCATGTGGGAGCAGGAAGGAATCTCAGCCATCATCTACTTCCAGCTCCTTGCTTTACAAATGGAGAAATAGAGGCCCAAAGAGATGAAGTGCCTTGTCCAAAGTCACACGACACAGAACTGACTAGAAAAATGATACAGCACTAAAATCCAAGCCATTGACTTCAGGTAAGTGCACGCGTGTTCTCTCTCTCTCTCTCTCTCTCTATATATATATATATACACACACACACACAGTTCTGATTTGCTGTATTTTCTTCCTATTAACAGGTCTACCATAAAAGAAATCAATACAACCCATAATATAGTCTGGTATTATATGTATTTCATTGATAAATGACTGGCATGTAAAGTAACACACACTGCACATGTAATTCATTTCTTGGGCCCATATATATCTTAAATCAAAATTCAGAGTAATCAGTCAGAGGACACTGTCTTAGCTATAGATTGGTTGAGAAGGTGGCATTTGAAGAGAAAATTTGGCACATCTTTCACACTATGTAAGCTAACCTATGCCTCGAAATTGCTAAATCATTGGTATAAAGTTTTGGTTTTTTTCCTGATAGTTTAAGAGATTAAAGTATAAAAATAGTCCAAACAGGGAGAAAGCAAATCAGGTCTTTCCTTTAAAAGGTTAAGTATAGCACTTTTCATTTTAATAAGGTAAGTAATTTGAAAACTTGACTTTTTTTGTTTTTAGGAAAAAAAAGTATTTAGCTACAACCCATAGTTTGTGAACCACCTGGTATATAAAATATTTTCCTATTAAAAAATGTGTTTCTGTAAAATTCTTGTAGTCATGAGATCCTGCCATGGTCCTGAGGCCTCAATAGGACAGATGATTTATGATGAACAAAGATATAAGAAAGAAAAAAAGAAAGAGATCACCATTAACAGCAGCAGCATTAAAGGCAAAGTATATTGAACATATTTAAATAGCTTCATGGAAATGAAGCTAAGAAGTTGCATGTATACTTGTGAGTATGTATGTCATTATAGTGGTAGTTGGAAAAAGTAAGACACACTGGGCATTTATCATTATCATAAACCAACTGCTGCAGACAGTTAAACTGTGGCTTCATAACTAGAATAAAGCCTGATAAATAAAAGTGACTTCTGTATATCATATGTGTGTGTACATATATATGTACACACATATTTTCTCACATAGATGTCTATTTATAAGTAAATCAATATTCAGTTACAATTTTTTTTCGGTCCAGCATTAAAGGATTTTTGATTCCATTTTTTTATGAATATGCCCTACACCTGGTGAGGAAGTTACACAGCATTTATATTCATAACTTTTATTATATCTGACCAGGGAAAATAAAGTGAAATCTCCTAGGACCTCAAGTCCACTTCCTACCACTATAAGCATATTAACAAATATATAGCAAAACATATTTGTTTACTGTTAGGTTAAAGAGCATATTTTAGTACTAAGGAATAAACTATGCTTGCTACCAATAATGTGTACATAATAGAATAATAAAATAATAAAAGTAATTTCATGAAAATATTTTGTAATAAGCTGCATTATAAATATTCAAAGACACATGCTAAAAATCAGAGTGAAAATAAGACTACTGTTCTGAAGCTACTGGTAGAAAAATATACTTATAAAAAAAAGAATGTCTTATTAAGTGAAGCATTAAATGTAAAATTGTCTTTTTAGTGTACATATCAAATTTCACCCTTTGAAAGGTAAAACCTTTATCTTTCCTAAAACAGGTACCTATAATGTATTTGAGACCTGGGAATATCGCAGAACTGAGCAGCAGATGACACAAGGTCAAGGGCAGTGCCGTGACTTTCATGTGGTCTTTGGAAAAGTGAGGGCAATTCCCAATGCTGAGTCGATAGGATACTTGGAGAAACACTGAATATATGTGAGCAGTTTAAAAATAGCACTGCATTTGTTCACCCTCAATGAGCATAACATGCAAAGCCTAGATGTTAGATTTTAAAAGGGGTTTGGGTTGCAGGGCAGACTGTATAAAATTCGGGAAAGCCGCTGTAAATAATTTTTTCTTGGGTTGAGTCCTCTCTGAGAGTAAGCTTTTAATCCATCATTATTAGGTGCTTTTAATGAACTAAAGATGAATTAAAATAACAAAGGCCTTGTATATGGTTTGAGCCCCTAAATAAGCATTTAAAATAGGACCCTCGCTTCCTCTTTGATGCCGTCTTGGCCATAGGAGATTCCTTCTTTTGGGATCCCCACTGGAAATTCCAAAGATGTGAAGGATATACTCATTCCCAGGGGAAAATCAAGGAACCCGTTGCCCAGCTGCCAGAAACCCTTGGGTCCTAAGTAGTGTGCCACTGAATCCAAGCCTCACTTGGGTGGCCTACGCCCCTCTCAGTCTGTGGACAAGGCAGGGATGAAACTGCAGCCACTTGAAAAGACTGTGAGTGTCTTGATACCTTTACACTTTCTGCATGTTTCTTTTCCCACCATGCTCCACCCACCTGGGGCCGGGGACGGGAACATTGCCTCTGCAGATAGATGCTGTGGCAGGAGATGAAAGACCCCAGAGAGGAGAGCGAGTGCTCAACCACAAAGCTGGGCCAAGAAGAGCAGCTGGTTTCCACACATTCCTGCTCCTCTCTGGGCTGGGCTCATGTTCACTTCGTCTCATTCCGATCACCAGGGCGGAAATGTCAGAGGTGTCTATCCCTAATCCAGTGGAGAACATGAGCCCCGGTAGCACAGCTGCCCGAGTCCTCCCCAGGGTCTCCTCCCCTTTTTTAGACTTAGGACCACTGAAGCCACAAGGCTCCTTGTGAATTAATGTCGCATATTATCAAAGGGCTTTTAATTCAGTTTACATTTTTTAATTGGCACAGTTTATCACAGCCTAAGAAGTCCAGAAAGATTTCAAGAGAGGAGAGATGACTGCATTACTTGATTACAACGAATACAATCTTTGGGATGTTCTTTACTTTTTGTATAATAACTACGAAAGACTTTTTTATTCAGTCCATTCACAGTTCAAGATAAAGATGTAACTTCTGGAACTGAGAAACTGATGGTATAGCGAGAGGGAAGTTTTCATAAGAAAATAGCTTTGATATGTGTATACACAAAGACATATATATATATACACACAAAACACCCCTCCCCTTGTATACTATACAGGTTGGCACAACCTTACTAAGAACATATTATGATACAAAGATTTCAGGATTTAATTTATTCTTGGCATTTTGATTTAGCAGGTGCTTAAGCAATTTAGGTTTTGACACATCTGAATCAACTGTATATTGAAAGTATATAATCGTGTTTTTAAAAAGGCCCAGACCAACTTTCCTTAAACAGTAACCCAATGTAACACCAAAGTTATCACATGGAAAACAAGATTGTTATTCTGTATAGGGTATTTTAGAGAAAGAGCAACTTGGAAAATAAAGACTTCAGAGTCCATTATTCCAAGCTAAGAGCATTTTAGTTATTAGCAGTGGTTACCAAATAAGCTGAAGGTAAATCTCTTCAAGGAGCTGCTCATCATTGCTTTGTGGAGAGGCAGGAACTGTTTTACTATTCCACTATAAGATGATGCAAGTTTTTTTATCCTTGAAAGGGTTTTCTGAAGTTGGTATCCCTATCAGCAAAGGGTCACTCCTGGCATGTTCCTCGCAGTAGGACATGAGGTCCGCTGATGCTTTTGAAACCTGACATGGAGACAAAGAAAAGCAAATGAATAAGAAAGAAAATACTTTATTTACAAACTTTCGGAGTGGATTTGAATGTTGGGCCATTGAGTGCAGGACTGATGTGAACAGGACAATCAGAGTCTCAGAGCATCACTCTCGGATTCCTTGCCAGGTAAAAAGGGAAACAGCACCTTTAAAATGGAGCAATCTGGCAGGTAAGGCCTCAGCCCTCATGTGAGTACTGAAGACACGCCAGCAGCTGGCTAGCTAGCATTCCTGCCAAAACGTTTTAACTGGGATCTAATCAGCCAGCGATCACATCCAAGGTGAGGGAGGTCCTGCAAAATCAGTGGCCTGAATTCTTGAAAAATGGACTGTGTATGAGGTATTATTGCTAGAGAATCCTGAACTGCAAATAACTTTCAAGTGGTTTAAAGAAAAAATGATGTGTGTTGGTGTGTGTACAGATAGAAGGAGAGAGAGAGGAAGGAGAGAGGGGAGAGTAAGAAAACAAATGGGGCCAAATATCGCCATTGGGGAATCTTGGTAAAGAGTATATAATTGTTTGTTGTTATAACTCTTCTGTAGGTTTGAAATTCCTCAAAATAAAACATTGGGGGTGGGGCGTGGCAGGGAAGAAAAAGTGTATGTGAATCAAAAGAAGGTTGTATCTGTTGTATCTTAGTTTCTATCCAAGAAAAAATAGATTGGAATGCAGAACAGAGTTTATGAACTGAATTATGAACTTGGAGCCAAAACTCTGGAGCTTGAAGATTTACTGTCATAGACTGGGCTTGGGAAAATAAAAAGTGACGAAACCAGCATGCACCTTACTCTAGCATGAGTTAAAAATGGAAAATACCATGGTGTGTTTCAGAAGCCTGGCAGGGAGACCCTGGAGGACCATCCGGTAGGTGCCCTAAGGCAAGAAGCATGGGGCAGCAGAGCCCCATCAAGCATAGCACAGGAGGCCTCCTGCTTGGAAGACAGATGACTATTCTCCAGGCCCAGAGGAATTTATCAGGTGACTGCTTCAGTTTCTAGGAAGCAGCATGAGTCATGACATTCCAGGGTACTCACTGCCAGTCCTCTCTTGGGATTTGGGGGAAACGACTTCAAAGTCAGGTGACCTAAGAAATGCACTCCAGTTTCTCTATGGGGCCTAACCAAACCTAGGATTGCTAACCATGGGTGCAGAGAGTGGTCATGGAGGACCACACACATTTAAAAAGCTGCAACTTCCTTAAAAGGAGATCTGGACTGTGGACTTGTTATATAAAGCTACGTCAGCTGCACTGATCTAGAATTCTCACCCTTCTAATTCCAGAAGGATGATGAGGTGTTCATAAAGTCTACCAGGAACCCTGTCCCGATACAGAACACAAGGATTGCTGGGCTTGACTATTTTCATTCAGGGAAGGTGGGTTCTCAGGAAATCCTGTCCAGAGTTTTACAGAAAGGGTCACTCAGACACTTTGGCGCCTCAGCTCACTTGGAATGAGGCCCGAGCTAGGTAGGAAATGAAAGTGAAGATTCTGAGGCTGTCTGCCTGCTCTAGCAAAATCCTGGAAGCAAGCTGAATTGAATGGCATTATCTTCTCTGACCTGTGGCCCAGCCTTAAACAGAAAGCACATCTAATCCAATCAAGGTCGCTTACCTTTATTCTTTCAATGGAGGCTTCTAGTCTTAACTGCTGCACGGTTCTCCTTGCCTGGGCTATGTTGTTGGTGCTTGCTGTTTTGCTGGACATCTTCAATAACTGTTTTTACCTGAAATCTGAGAAGTACTTTTTTTAAAAGGTGAAGAACAGTCGTCTTTAAGCTATGTAAGCATTGATAATAATTTGTGCTAGTTAAGGGAAATGGACACATTTTCCCAGTCCTCATGGCCTTCTTGGAGGCAGTTACTAAAATGCCCCTCAGCAACTGGAGTGGTGGCCTTGATGTGGAAGCCTGTCATACATTTGAGCCCCTACACAATCCTTGGTTTGCAAAAACTTAGCACGAGAAGTTCAATCAATGTACCTCAACATAGAACATTAATAGTAGCCTTTTCTCATATTTTCTATGAGGAAACAAATACACATAAACATCTGCACTAGTTAGGAAACTTCTGGCCAAAGTGAGCATTTGCCACCAGAGGCCACATTACAGGCCAGTTAGTATCACTGCTATCTACTTTAATAGAAGGTTTGAGTTTATTTCTTTTGGGCTCTCTTATCCAACTATGAGGCTGATGTAAATCCTGGCAATAGAATACAGGGAGAAAGAGCTCCTCTAGAGAACTTTGCACAAAGGGTGCATTTTTTTAAAGACATAAAAGTAAAAAAGTTAATTTTATCCTTCTTAGAGGAGAGACAGAGAGAGAGAATGAGATGGCATGGCATCCCAAAAAAGAGAAGGGAACGAAGTGTGCATTTTTAGGTGCTATCATGATATGCAATCATTTTGAGAATGTTAGTTAGGCAGATAAGAAATTCTTTATTCCCAAAAAAAAGAAAAAATGGGAAGCTTTCAGCTGAGACTCTCAATGATAAGACACACCCACAGTAAATATCAAATGGGATACAGAAATAGCCTAAAGCCTGAAATAATTCATAAAACTTTATCGTCCCCTCCTTTGACCTCTCCCAGGCCCATCCCGGTGGCCCAGGCACTTGCTAATCCTGTTACCCACCCCACTATACGCTCACTCTCCTCTCTGGCCCGAGCCCTTGGACTCCAGGCTGCCCTGCTGCCCTCTCCCCAGCCACCTGCTGTAAAGCAGCGGAGGCATCCTGGGCCTCGTGCTTTAGCCTGTCTGCTTGTCCATGGCGCATTGTGAGAGGAAGGCCGGCCTGGGGAAAAGCACTGCCCGGTGACCTGACATATATGGCTAAGTTCACTCTTGGCATGGTGATGACTGGAGGAAAGCACAGGGCTGGCAGGCCTGGCAGCAGTGTGGCAGTTTCATGACTCATGGGAGCAGGTGGACAGTAGGTGTGCCTCCCTGGCGCTATGCAAGGGCTCAGCAAAGTCTTCAGGCGCTGCGGCGCCAGCAGCAGACCCAGGCTGACTCAACCTTTTGGAGCCGCAGCTGCACAAAGCAATTCTGCCATAAAGGCTTAGACCAGAGAAGGCTGCAAGAAACACCAGCCACCCACAGGCTCCATAGTATCCAGCACGAGGGCACTCTGGTACTCATACTGAGTACCACCAGACTTGGAATGTTCCCAAAGGCTGAGTTCAAGCACTTGGCTAGGGCCTGTAGCCTCAGAGGTCAATGGGGTCAAATGTGCAAATAAGACTGCTTTTAACTCTGTGCAGACCTTTGAAATCGGCCTAATCAGCAAGCTTCACATTCCTGCATTTGGACCCTGCCTGTGCCACTTACTAGCTGGATGAAACCAGGCAGGTTACTTTGCCTCTATGAGCCCAAGTTTTCTCATTTGTACTATAAGGATACTATTACTCTCTTTGGAGGGATTTTTGTGTGGGTGGGGGGATTCAGTGTGCTGATGCACATCTACTGTGTGCATGCAGCATGGGACCAAGGCACTCCTTCAACTGCAGCTGCAGCTGCTGTGGTTTTTATCCTGGGGGTCCCACACAGCACAATCAATTGGAATTCCTTGTTTACTTAACAGTTCCAACCACCTCCCTACCCCTGGTCAAGGAGCCCCAGGGTTTTGGCTGGGCCTGGGTGGGGCTATGTGCACCTGCCCTTTTTAGAGAGTCCCTAAGCCATTCTGCTACACTAATGTCAGGGCAGAATGCAAGGTCTGGCAACAGCCAGTGGAGAATTTCCTTAGGAATAAGGAAGCTACGGGCAGGGCAGGGTGGCCTTGCCTTGTCCTAGGCGTTGGGTGACCTCGTTTCAACACACTATGGAAGTAGCTACCGCTTCCTGAGATTCCTCAGTCATCTTGCCCAACTCAAAGGACAGGTCTAGGGTCTCTTTGATTTTGCTCACACCCAGAACCCGTCCCAGCCCCTTTCTGTGCTCCCAGGCCAGTGCTTGTTAACAAAGCATCTGGGATGCGGCTGAGGCAGTGGGCAACCTCACCCTGCACCGTGTGCAGCGCCCTGATTCAAGCAAGTCGGTTATATATTTTGTTCCCTGCAACACATTAAATTGGGCTCCCTTTCCAGCTGGCGCTGGCTCTGAGGCCCCCAGCCTCCAGAATGTGAACGTGACACCCTTTCTGAGTGGTCTGTGGTTTCTAGGCACCACCCTAAGGACTTTCTCAGTGTTCTCGGTGCATGGGAATAACGCCTTGCATTCCCTCCTTCTTCTTAACCTCCAGGGCATAAAGTTTCCCAGGGCTGAGCAAGTTTTCCTGTAACTGTAGAACAGTTCACCCAAATCAGGACTGGATTAGTCTTTGCTCCCACCCTGCAGCACGGCCACAAGCAAACAGTCTATAGTCAGGCTCTATTTATAAAATGCTTGGGCAGGCCCCTCTAAAATTGGCCAGCAACTTGGCATTTAGTACTTGGAGGACTTTCTTACTTCCTGACTGTATTATAGTCAGGAGTAAAAACAGCTAGCAGTTCACAATTCGGCTCAGCTTCCTGCTGTCCCTCCCCTTCTGGTATTTGTGTCGTGACCTGCTCCTGCACAGAGGGCCTTCTGCCTCCTCGTGCAGACAGCTCCCTGCTCCCTTCCAGGGGGGAGTCTTGCAGGGCCCAGGCTCTACAAAAGTCCATGCAACATTTTTTAATTGAGTACTACTGAAACTAGGTACAGAGTGTTAAGAATGGGTTGGTAGGACAGATAACAGCTCCTGCCCTCACAGAGACAGCACTAAATAAGTCATTAGCTACTTTCCTCTTCTGTGCAGGGGTAGCCCAACCCCTCTTCCTGCTCTGCCACCCTTCCCAGGCTCCCAACCCAAATGCAGTTGCTCTTCTGAAAGTCCCTTCCCCTCTGCTGGTACAAATATGGATAACCCTCTCCCCCACCCAGGAAAGTAAAGTTTAGGAGATGGGTAATTTTCACAGCTTCAAAGATTTATTAATCACAAACAACTTTCTACTGAATATTGTGTAGGAATATTTTTGGGAAGTCAACGAGATAGGGTATTTGTGGTTGTAGGGGAATGAAAAATGGCTTCCCTCTATATTTCCTAGGTTCTTTGGCTGGGATACAAATTAAAATGGACATAGACAGATTGACAGGAGAAAAATCATATTTAATTATGTACATGCTTGTGGGAGTTCCACAAAGTATGAGACTCAAAGAAGGATCAACTGATTGAAGCTTATATAGCATCCTAAGCTACAGAGAGGGCTCAGGGCTTCTGGGGGGTGGGAGAGACACAAGTTGTGGGAGGGTGAGAGGAGGAAAAATTTGGTGAATAAAGGCTGTCGTGTAACCACATAAAAGTGTCTCAGGTGATAAAGGCGGTCTCTCTTGGATCAGCCCTCAGCAGAGGAGGTGACAGTCTGTCTGGGCATGGTGTCACCTCCAGTCTCCTCTCCTGTGATCTCAGCTAATCTTCCCCGGTTGATAAGATTCCCAGGGAGGGGATTCATGACAACTGAGTTTCTTTTGGAGGATTGTCTTTAGGCAGATAAAGGGGAGCTCAGAGAAAGCCTCTGGCCTGCATCGGCTGTTCCCCGGATGTGCTCAGTTCAAAGTAATTGGCAAGCCAAAGCATCATATTTTAGGGTGGCATTTCCTGAATGCCTTTGGTCATTCCTAGAAAAAGCTGCACAGTGGGCCACTGGAAAAGAATGTAGTCTCTGATTATAACATTCTTCCTATGGACAATATTGTTTCAAGTTCAGGAGCCTCTTCGAGGAGCTGGTCTGCGGAGTGGCCACATGACTGTGCAAGGAGGGCCACCCCTGTGTCATTCTTGGGCAGTGGAGGTGTTCACAGCAGCTGGAAGTCTAGCCAAGGACTTCCTTCCTGCTTGCAGCTGCTCTGCACCTCCCTCAACAGCTGGACTGGGCCGAGCAAAACAGAGGCTGGGGAAACCAGTATCTTCAAACATCTCTGTGCCTTTGGAGGGTTTTCTTTGGTCTTCCCTCAATGGTGAGGATGTCAGACTGGCTGTTTGTTTGTGCTACTAGGTGGATAAAAAGCTTGCTTTATTCTTACACCAAGAATAGCTTCTAAGGCAAACAACACCTGCTATTTGTCTGGAACCTGAGAGGGCACACATTGCTTTCATACGCATTATTCCATGAAGCCTCACTAAAGTCCTGAAAGGTGTGTCACTGTTCCATCCTTGTTCTACAGATGAGGCAAATGAAGTTAGAAAACTTTGCTTCAAGTTAACCCAGCTCCTAAGCCTTGGACCAGCTCATAAGCCTCTTCACTCCAGAAGCTACCCTTCCCGCTGCACCAAGGAAAAGACACTATTCCAATTGATTTCATTCTCAAATACTCAGGGCATCGCAGAACACTCCACAATGTGGTTCTTAATCAGGAGTGACTTTGACACACCATGACCTGGAGTTGGGGGCTTGCTGATTGCTTCCTGTTTGTGCAACAGTCCTTTCTGATGCAGAAGGCTCTAGTTTGTCTATCCAGTGCCTGGAGGGGAGGCCTCCCCTGGAAAGCATGCAAGCTAAGCAAGAATGTTCTCTTTGGCCCCTCCTAGGCAAGGACTGAAGCCAGCATCTGGAAGTCCTGAGCCACCAGTAGTCTATCCTGCCCAGAAGGACAAAGGCCTGTGCAGACTGCCTGTCTGATAAAACTCTGGCTATCACTTCTGCAGCCTGGCTTTCATTTTCATATATGGGCAACAGATTTGAATACACATGCAGCGTTTAGCTATTCAAATA